ATGATTTCCGCAGGTGAAGACAAACCAGCTCAAGAACTTGTTGCCCTATTTAAAACAAGACTGGAACCAACATTTGAAATCATGCCCAGGTAATAAAATTATTATAATGGCATTTCTAAGCACACTTTTCAGCTCTTGCACTTTGCTTGGTAAGTGCACATAATCATATTATTGCTTTTTTTTCTTTCAAACCTGCAGTGGCTTTGTAAGGGGACCTCCAAATACAATTCCACAGCTGGTCACTTTCCAGCAAGACTTCAAAAAAGGAGCACTTCTTACTATTGTAAGTATGGCTTATCAACTTGGATAAAATAATAATGGTTATAATAAAAGTATTAAAAGCATTTGCAGTCATGATGTGAATTTCATTAATTCTTTGAGTTGTAAATACCTGAGTTCACTGAGAACTTTACAATTCCTTCGGTTTTGATTTCAGTTATAATAGGCCATCATATATTACATGTTGATGCTATTATTCTACAAATACCAGAATTCATTCACATTTATTATTCAAATTTATCAATCATACTAAGGTTTAAACTACACTAAAGGTTTATGGTAGGCTCAATTACCAGCCGCTGCTTGGGAAAATGAGCCCTCATTGATCAAAGACCGGACCATGGAGATGGCGGAAATAATATTGAGCCTAGGGTGATGGTAGTTTTAATAAAACGATTTCATCATGCATTTTTTCCCGGTTGTAACCTATTAAAGTGGAATAGCTTATGATTTTTAAAGTGTTGAACAGAAACATTGTTTATTTCTTTTTCAGTGTTGGTCAAATGGCAGCATATCTTTCATTCCTCTACTATTTTCTCCATCCGCACTGATTTCCTCTCATAATCAGTTTGAAAATGGAACATCAACAAGTCCTGTGGTATTATAATCAATTCTTTATGTCAAAAAAAAAAGTCTCTGAAAACTTGTACATGGGCAGAAACATGTCGTTAACAAACCTTAAAAAATATTAATATTGCAATACAAAAATTAAATAAATCTGCTAAAAACAGAAATAACGATATTTTTATTTTATTTCTCTGTTCAACCTGTTGCTTAAGCCAAGTGAACAATAAGATAGTGAATAAATTTTATCACATTTTGATTTTATCAGTCATCCCAATACAGCATGCAAAGAAAGTAGTGTCCGATAGCCCGGGGCTAGTGGATTTTGCTATCAGGCTAGTTAATTCTGTTATTAACTTGCCCGACGGGCAAACTTGTGACGTTTTTTGAGGAATTCAGATTACAGAAGAACTGTGAAATTAATCTGCTCATCAAAACGTTTTTGGGGCTAGTTGAAATGATATGTTAGCTTCAGCTTGCCCGAATGGCAAACTGTAAAAATGACTTTCTTTGCACCTCGCCAACAACTGAATAAGCACAAGTTGATGCGGTCCCCAAATGATAACATGGGATCTCAAGTTCCAAAAACCCTCACTTTAACCCTTTAAGCCTCAAGAGTGACCAACATCAATTTTCTCCCAACAATATTAATAGATAATAAAAAGAAAGTTTATGAGAATAAATAAAATGATCACCTAAGAGAAAATGCTTTGATCTTTGAACAAATTCTCTCAACTAATTCTGTAAGGAAATGCATGGAGATGAGTTTGGAGAATTTGCATGTGGATAATGGGGCTTAAATGGTTAAAAACAAGGCTAAGTGCAAAATCTTTCTTATATCAATGGTTTCATACTTAGCCTCACTTTTAAAGTGGCCATTTAAACAATAAAATTATATTAATGTTCTTTTTATAATATAAACAACAATGAAATACCAAACAATTTCGCGTTAATATTTTGTTTGTTGCAAAAGGAACAGTTTATTATGTAGCTATATCAGTGGTGATCTTCCTCACATGTAAAGATAACATGTTATTTACATGTGTGAATACATGATGTTTTCATATGAAAGCTTACCTGGTATTTCACAGGTGTTTTTATAATAAAGAGCAACATTAGGATGTTCGCAGTTTATCTCGGGAGTAAGATTTATTTCACACAAAAATTTCTATGACCAAAATTTTCGACCAAATTTTCAAGGTTGACCCCTGTTAATAAACGTACCGTCGGTAACGTTTGATCACCTGCACGATCCATTGTATGAGTGGGTTAAAGTAACCTTTTGAACACGTGTCCATTAAATATTGAGTTACATAGTTATTTTTGACCAAGAACTTTGGTTCTCTACATTGTTTACTCAACGAAGAAGAGAACATTTTGTTCTTGAAATGAAAGGCTTCTCTCGTTTTAAAATCGTTTTCTAAAATATCCTCCATGCAAACGTGTGGATAGTCACAATAAATTAAAATGCAGTTTAACACTCAACTTAAGTTCACTAAGATTTTGTTCCTTTACGTCTTTTCTTTAATTCTGAGGGGTTCAATTCCTCATTTTTGTGGTTTTCCACTGACGAACGACTGTCTTTCTTTCCCCAATACTTCTTCTCTGGTTTCATCTCGACTGGTTTGGGATTCCAGGTCAGTAGCGAATTTAGTACAATGGCGGCCATTGTTCCTATTACTGGCCCAAGCCAAAACACGAATAAATGTTCAGAAATGACTTCTTTTCTTGTGCAATAGACGAAGGTCTGAGCAGTAGCCAGCGCTGGATTCATCCATGTTCCGGTTGTTTCGGCAAGAGCGTAGGAAACGACAACAGCAGAAGCCGCTCGAATCACTGAATTGAACTTTTTGAGCGCGTGCCCTCGTGACATGAAATCACTCATTACTGTCACGAACGTTGCCATAATTTCGATCGAAATACCATACAGGAGCGAAACTTCAAGCGTCGATCGAAGGCCTTTCTTTACTTGCTGGAAGTGAAATTCACTCCAAGTCGATTTCCACAAAAACTGTATGAAGGGAAAGCTTAAAAGGCCGCCAATAAGTTGAAAAATAACTTTAGCGATATTTTCTTTCACCCAGTAGGCTTTCTTGTAGACGATGTCTTCTAACATTCCGCAAGGATTAGCGAAAGCCCCCTCAAAAATGAATTCAGCATGCTTTAAAGCTAATAGGACAAAGGTACAGCTGAGAGCAATCCAGCTGCTGTAGAACTTTCCAATGACGGAGATCTCGAACACACAAACGGATAACTGAAATGTTGAGATCAACTCGTTCGCGTAAGCGTAGTAACCACTCGGCAGAAGTCTCTTTAGAGCAATTCGAAACAATTCGCCAACAAGGAAGCCGGCTGAAATGGCACCTATGGACCAGTGGAAGACCATTGCGAATTTGATTTACAAATAATTTTTCTGACCTTAACAAACAACAAGGATCTTTACCTCAAAGTCATTGACTACCAACCAACAGGCAACAGAATAGTCATTTAACAAAACCGGTTTATTACCGGAAGTAACTTTGACCGGAAGTGGAAGAAATTGCGGCTTGGCCACTCTAGCCTGCGTACAGCTTCCCCCACCCCCATCCCGGAAAAAAATCGGAGAAGGGGCCCTTTCTCCGATTTTTTTCTGAGGAGAGGGTGGCTATGTACTCAGGCTAGTCAAAATGATGCAGTTAGTTTCTAGAGAAACTTGTTTTGCGTCATTGGGGAAGTAAAATACAAAGATTTGGTTTTAGCAAAGTGTGTAAATGTGATAAGGCCATCCCCCACTTTTTTTTTTCGTTTGGCGTCGACTTAGACTGCAAAACAGTCGGTTTTTTTCTCAAAATCAGTAAAGCGTGGCGTCTCTCGCCAGTCTCGCTCTCTGTTTTCAGCCTCGTTCCAGACCTTTTGTTTGACTGCTCGCGCGTAGTTGAATGCGCAAAAATACGGACTGTTTTGCAGTCTGGCGTCGAATGCGTTTCCTGTATCACACGAAGTCTCGAAATAGGAGGACTTGGTACCCCACGATGACGTTAAAAGTTAACATTCACATATTTGGATTAACAAAATGCACAACATACTGTAAAAATGTTCCTGGTTTGTCCCTGTTTTTCTCTATACTGTTATTATGCACATTTCTCAGATTAAAAGAATTATTTCAAGTGAAAAATGGTTTAACTACGTCGTTACTTTTTTTTTTTGAAAATGCCAAAAGTTTGGGTCGGTCGGACGACGCTAAACGGAGAAAAAAAGAGGATGGCCTAAGTAAAGAAAGATGGTTAATTTTGTATAAATGTTTCACCGTGGGTGGTCACTGCCGGTGTTGGGCTACAACTCGCAAGAAACCCGACAAGAAATCTCATTCAAATAAAGAACTAGCTCAAAGCCCGTCATTTCTTTATTAATTTACAAGTTTATCTCTCACTGACAAGAACTTGAAACATTTCTTTCAGTTGTAATACAATTTAAAACTAAATATTAAGTTGGGATTTTTATCTGTCCTCGCAATTTCTTCTTGCCACACAAGCATACTCTTACGTCCAGTATAGCTGGAAGTATCTGCCATAAATAAATATCAAACTAAAATAACCAACTGTACTAGTCTGCTCTACAGCCGTTTTATTTTTTTGTCTCGTCACGCAACGCTCTGGGGAGGAACGTTGCGTGACGACACTATACCCATCTGTGTACCAGACTACAGCTCTACAGGCCTTTCCTAAACAACACTGGTTGTCTCAGGGAACTTTACAGCTTTAAAATTCTGATTTGAGACAATTGGAAAGGAAGATTCAGCTAGCAAAGATAATAAGAAAAACGCCACATGAACGGCCAAAGTTTTACTGGTGCGTTCGTGTGAAATTGGGTTGGTTAGGAAAAAGAAAATCGAGAATTTGATGCATCGCGAGTACAACACGTGCCGCGCGAGGGAAGCAAAACATTTTCTCATCAGTTTGTGTTCCCTGCTAGTTGAGGCCTCAGGGAAAAGAGGCCTCTGCTAACAGGGTAGACTACAAAACAGTCGGTTTTTTTTTCTCAAAATCGGTTTAGCGTAGAATAAGAATAGCGTTTGAGTCTCACGCGCGCAAAGCGCGCAAGCCTCACACGCCCGTAGGGCGTTTGAACGTCTCTCCCCAGTCTCGCTCTCTGTTTTCAGCCTCGCTCCAGACCTTTCGTTTGACTGTTCGCGCGTACTTGAATACGCAAAAATACGGACTGTTTTGCAGTCTACTAACAGGGAAGAGTTTGTGGAGACAAACCGGTGGTATGACCATACCATGGACCATTCTTTCGCCTTCCCTTTGTAAATAAATTCCGGCTAGCAGAAGACTCTGGGTATGAGATTGGCTAACAAGGCGAGACGAATCGGTCTGAAATAAAACCCAACACAGGGGGCATTCTGGGACACCTAAGAAAACCTGGAAACAAGTATAATATAATGCCCGAAAGATAGACAGCAAAAAAACTGATCGGTTTTTTTTTCCCCAAAATCGGTTTAGCGTAGCTAAACAGTCTCACACTGTTTTGCAGTCTAAATGAAAGTGGAAACACTAAACCTAATCGTTAAAATAATAATAAAAAAATTGTTCTGTTCGCCTATATTCACTTGACTGATCTCAGGTGATGTGGGTTTTACCCGGGGGGGGGGGACTCCCTCCAATTTCGAATGGGTGTGTACCGCCCGGGGTCTCAAATCCTGCCCCTATTTATGGATGAGACAGATGAAAACTGATACCCTATTTTAGGCCAAAACCTGAAAAATGAGACCAAATTCAAGGGAAAAACAAAACCTAAGAATTTAATGGAAACCTTAGTTAAATCGCTTTGATAATACCCTAAGGTAAAGTTCAGTTTAAACCGATGATTTGTTTCTCGTGTAGCTGGGCATTTACGCACTTGAATTGCAACTAAAATAACGGTAATAACGACACCCTATCTAACGAACGCACCGGGAATACAACGCCAAAAAGAACAAAATTAATACCCTATTTAAGGATGGAAACACCGGGGGTACTTCCCAGTAACAGGCTAATGGGGATGTGCCGCCTGATTGGGTCGCATTTTCATGGCTGGATTGACTATAATGGGGTTTCATTTTCAGTAGAGTTAAGAGTTACTAGAATGGGATCGCACATTTTCGGGATTTGGGGGATCAAAATATTCAGGTAGGTACGGATTTAAAAAGGCGTAGATTTTTACTTCATTAAATTTAACCACTGTGTCAATTCATTTCATGATGACCTAGTTAAAAGGCTTTATAAAGTAGATGCGTAAACAGAGAGTTACTAAAATGGGATCGCGAAAATTACATTTTCCCAAAAGTGACTTAAGATGGGGTCTATACTTGGCCACATAATAGACTATAATGGGTAAGGGGTTCTAAGAGGCCAGCGGCACATACCCAGCAAAAATTATCCGAAGTACCCCTCCCCCCCCCACCCCGGATGGAAACCCTTAAAAACCATACCCATCGGGAAGCACACACCTATCTAGCCCATATACGGGAGTAGCCAGTCCCCGGAGGGGGGGGGGGGTCTAGCACATACCAGGCGCAAATTTAGAAAGTAAGAGCACAGCTAAAGGGGAAAATTTCATTCTACAGTGCCGCTGAAGTATTTAATCAGATTATTGGTTAATGTAACCATTTAAATTTTAAAACCATTTTCAGTTTGTAAGTGCTTTTGTACACTGCTCTTGTTTTTAGTAAATCCCTTAAAGAAAGGGATTTTCTTGAATTTACATTTATGGCATTTTGATGCGTTAAACAATCACTGCATTGAATAAAACGGGTTCTACACGAACTTCCAGCTATACAGAGTATGCAAGAACTTGACTGAGTATAGTCTAACATTTGCAAGGAATGATCACCATCAATTGGCATCTCCACCATCTGAAAAGTCAAACACAGTTTAGGACAATTAAGGCTGGTTTTCACTAGCGACGGAGTCGGAATCGGAGTCGTAATCAGAAGGGTAGAACTTTAATATCTAGTGAAAACAGCGTTCTGATTCCGCTTACGACTCCGCCGTTTACGATCAACTGAAAACTGGGTTGTCGGAGTCGGAAGCAGAAGCGGAAGAACTAAACCAATCACAAAGCATGGGAACGTGCATTGTGATTGGTTTATTCTTCCACTTCTGCTTCCGACTCCGACAATCTGGTTTTCACTAGATCGTAAACGACGGAGTCATAAGCGGAGTCCGAAGAAAACGGAAACGTTCTGATTCTTCCGACTCCGATTCCGGCCACGTCGCGCTTATGACTCTGCTTACAACTCCGATTTTTGATTTTCACAAGGTCATGAGCGCTCTTACGACTCCGCTTACGATTCCGACTCCGACTCCGCCGCTAGTGAAAACCAGCCTTTAATTGCAGTTAAAACTCTAAAGAGCCTTGGAACACCCACAGAGATCAGATTACCAAGCAAGCAGAGGTTTCTTTCTCGCATTTACGAAGTCGTTCGCGTTGCTTGTCAGTAGCAATTAGATCGACCACTATCCCGATGGTTTGAGGCGGGCATGAAAGAGGCCGTAATTTTTCTACGCATCAGATCGCACAAGCCGAGGATGTGGAAGGTACAAGTCGCCACACGTGTGGAAAAACTTGTTCGATAGTTAAATACGAGTAGAGCCCAGTTTAGCCATAGATCAGCGTCCACCGCACAAAGCTTTAGCTGCTCCCTCCACCTCACCTATCAGTTTTCGAGTTCGTCTTATAAGTTTGACCTGAGACCTTGATGCGCCTATAATGCGTTCTCGTTTTTTTTTTGTCCACCGCTGAGTTACTAAACTAAATAAACTTAGAAGTTTTCAAATACGGAAATTGGGCTGCGAACTCTATAACCTTCCTAGGAGAACTCGCCTCGAGGCGAAACCAGAGTATAAAACCAAAATGTCATTGTCAATGCGAGTTTGCCTGTGGAATGAGACAAGATTTGACAAACTGATATACTGACCTGGTTTAGAATCGTCATTTTCGGATTGGTCCTGTTGTTCTCTGTGCATATTAACTGCAGCTTGCGCTTGGGTTCGCAGCTGTTCAAACATTTCAGGATTTGACTGTTGCATCTGCTCACCAAACTGCTGGGCACTGGTGAGACAAAACAAGTTGAAGACTTTTATAAATTCCAAACAAAATTACCCAATGACAAAGGCCATGACCATAGGCTAAGCAAGTTATGAAAATGTTAGTAATAATTCGTGAGGAGAAAACAAAGGAAATAACTACCGACATGGTAGTTTAGATATCAGATCTTAATTACTATAAAATGTTGCTTACTTTATCATGGATGTTTTCCAGGGTTATTGTTCATTTAGGAAGCTATTTTCAACCCATTTTTCGGTCAGGATATCAGATGAAACACTCCGCGTTATGCTTGATATAACTTCTAACAATAAAATCCAC